GCTCTGCTGTAGCTTCTGCTCCCCGCTGTAGCTCCACAACGAGAGACTCCCACAGGATGACCAGGGTAGCGGCTTGAAGCTACGGGCTAGCCCTTCAATTCAAGCTACACAGCAAGCTCCACCTCTCAGTGGTAGTCCGGCTACAGCGTATCGCGCAATCTCGCTCTCAATCAGATGCTACGCTCTCAATCAGGCGAATATGTTGTTGCACGTAAAATGCCTACCCCATAAATAAGGACGTGTTAAGGAGTGTGGCTGCTAGCATGAATAGGGTACATCTTATTCTTGATAGGATGCGGGTCGGTCAGGAGGTATACCCTTCTGACCCCCACCTCCTTAGAATTGTCTACTCTGTGCACCCCCTGAGTTGAAGTTGGATCCCCACTTCATCCCAGACCTTTGCTGATCGTCTCTCAGCAATAACAAGCAACTTTCCCATCTCTACGTGGTCGTGGACAAGCGTGTCAACGACAGAACCTTCACCTATCTCTAGGAGCAAGCTACCGCACACGGCATCACTCCTTGAAACTTGGCGTCAGCTGGCATTACACGGTAAGCGGGTGCTGGACGCGGCTTCCACACTGCTGTGTGTTGTTGCCACGCTTTTTTCACAACCACCGGGTTGCTTGTTATTTGGTCTCACCACCCACGAGAAGCTAGACTTAGCACCTTCTCTGCTTCCTCTCCTGTAGAGATGCTGGCTTGTGATGCTTTTGCGAAGCGCCCGCGGGACTGGGACCTTGCAAAGGATACGCGCCTCGGAGGCCATCGCGATCTTTTGGGTGATTTCTCGTACGCTCGCCGTCCCTCGAAAGCTATTTTGTCTGCATCGGCGGTCCATAAAGTGATTTCTGTGGCGGATACCCTCTGCATGGAGCGTCCTGAGATGCTGGCCTTGTGTAGTGGGACCCGAGATGACAGCATGCTTCCCACGTCTGCTGCCACCTCTACTGCATTCATGCCGGCGTACCGGCCGATGTCCGCGGATTTTCCTGTTGTGCTGTCCGATTTGACTCCGCTTGCATCGACTTGGAACGCGATGTGTGCACACAAATTGGGTGTCAGCCGCCCCACCAGCCTTCCCTCCATTTTTCGAAATCACATGGCACTTTTTTTCGGGGAATCGTTCACCCTCAAAGCATTTGAATTGGAAACCTTTCAACAGCGCAAACCCACAGCGGTCTTTGCTCGCACTTCGGCACCAGTTGCGGAGGAACGCCGTGCTGCTCTGCGTGTCTTTTGGTCGGAAAACCTCGTGTCTCCATGCAACACGGGCCCTTTTGTGCTAGCTTCTACTGCTGTTTGTGCGTGGCATGGTGTGCTTTTGGACGCTTTTTCTACTTGGTTATATCCGCTTCAACCTCGTGTGCACCAAGCTTTTATCACTGGGCGTATGCTATCTTGTGGATATCTCCGCCTTTCGCATGGACCTCGGCTTGCTCTTCCCGAAGTTGCACCCGGCTTTACTGCTTCTGCTGCTCTTGGTGCTGCTGCCTCAACTGCGGTTTGTTATCGTACATCTGCTGTTTCTGGCCCTGCGGCCCTTTCCAAAATCGATCGTAGCTATCCTCTCTCTGGCCCTGTTCTTGTTAGCAAAGAGGACATCAAGTCCAGCGGCAACGTGGAACTCCTGGGCGACAATGTGGAAATCCTCGACTACGAACCCGAGGGCGAGGCTCCCACCGCAGAGCAGTTTCCAGCGGCGAGTGCAGAAGACGAGAACCCCCCCATGTCCATGGTGTTCACCGTCGATGCTGGACAACATCGTCACAGCAGATCCGGCGGAACCGGAGCGCGCCTACAACACCGGACGTGTCTCTCTGGAGGATATCGAAGAAGCGGCCTATCTGTCGTCCGATTCCCACCTTTTCGTTCCTCCTTTCTCGCTCCCGCCGGAAGACA